AAGAATTCATAGGGAGGAAGTGATAAACCCATGATAAAAAAAATTCCAGAGAACTGTCAGCATTATCCTAACCAAAAAAGAATTTCCTCCTTAGTCATCCACAGGCAGGGTAAGCCAGCTCTCCCATGAACTACAGAAGAGCAGGGAAAAAGTGCTTATCTGGGAAATTACTTCTCTTCCTAGTACCTCAGAATCTAATTTTTAAGCAGGACAAAGGTCAAATGAAAACCACCTGATGGTGATGCAAATGGAGCCCTGATAAAACTGCACAGGGGCCACCACAAAGAGCTGATCTTTGCAAAAAGCTTAATGAAAGCCAAGAGATGGTGCCAGTGGATGATGGAGGATGATGGCAATTCTGCATCCGTGTGCCACAAGAATGCTGCCAGTGGCAGGAAGCCACATCCAAGCTGTGGAGGGGGCCAAGCCAGGGCAGTGCAGGATCTCCAGCATCATGCAGCTCCCCAGGGAATGCCCCCAGCCAGGCAAACTGGGCTGCTGAGCCTGGGCTGAAGATACACTTCTAATTGGGATAGTAAGAGCTCCATCTTCCAGAGGCACAAGGGCTGGAATGCAGCTGTGCCTTATCCCCCACCTTGTCTACAATAATCATTATAAATATAAGTAATTTTCTTTGTTGCACACACTCAGGCTGCATTTCTGCTGCTAGAGACTCAGGTCTCTAATCTGACCTCCTCTAATCTGACCTCTGGCTTTGACACTGCAAAGATAAAGAGAAGGCAGCACAATGATGGCACCCTGAAAAAATACAGCCAGCAAAATCACAGGATACCCAAAACAGTGCCATGGAAAAACTGGGAGGCTGGGTTAGATTCCAGCTCAGGAAACATCCGGAGAATAAAATATTGCCCAAAATGGCATTTTGTGTTTCTGACTTGGGCTCCACACTGCAGGACAAGAAGATTAGGCAGATGCCCTCCCATGGTGGCAGACTGGCCCCCTAGCAGCCATTCCTGCTCAGCAGTTTTTGCCTGCTGCACTATCTAAGCAACCAAACCAGCCTGGAGATGATTAAAGCTTAATCAGAAACTCTTCAGTTCATGCCCTGTTCACAGCTTTGGGACGGTACAAATCCTGCCACCTTTACCAAGACCCCCTCCAAGGGCCTCTCACAGCCCTGGGATGCCAGCCAGCTTTGGAGGCTTTACATTTTCGTGGCATGAGACAAATTTCGCTAAGAGTTCCTCAATGCTAATCCACAGAACGCTGCCCAGCAGCTGGGAGCACAAGAAAACAGCGTGTCCACACCTTCAGTTCTGCACAGAACCCCTCAAAGCAGCACACAGGATTCAGAAGCTGAGCAAATACCTTTTGCTTTCTTGCTGGCATTAACAATATGTCTCGTGATAGGTCACTGCTTCCTTGCAACTTGAAGAGCACAGTAAGCCAGCAGACAGTTCAGTGTTTATTTACTGTGCACAGTAAGTCAGCACCTGCAGATGCAGGCGCTCATGGAAAAGCAAAGATCACACATAAAGAAAGATTTTTTATTCTGAAAGTAATGACTGGGATGCTTTGGTTAATATAAAATTCCAAGCAAGGTCTTAAAGCAATCAATAGAGGATTCATTAAAGACATACTAGGAGGATTATTCCAGATATTTAAAAATATAGAAATATTTATTTACTTATATAAATAAACAGAAATATGGCCTCATGTATCCCCAATTACCTGCCCTGCAGTAAGGGGACAAAATTTGGGCACAAATGGCATTCATAAATAAGTGCCCCAAAGGAGGGACAGCCCTTAAAAAGAGAGAAAATTCACGCTGTAAAAGGGGTTGATGTTCTTAGCATAAACTAAGGACTGAGATCCACCATTAATTCACTTTGCTTCTGTTGAACTTTCACTGCTGCACAATGAGCAAAAGTCAGCCTGTGCAGGATGAGCACAGGTGATCAACATCCTTCACCCTGGGCACGTTCTCCTCCAAATTCCCCAAGCAAGACGGGAAGAAAGATCAAAGCACAATTTCAGTATCTCCAGCTTCAGCATTTTCCTCAAGCAAAAGAAGATGTGAATCCAAAGATTCAGCTGTAAATATTTTAAAAGTGGCAAATGGACCTTTGGCAGCCAAAATAAGAATATTTAAAAGCACTAGCATTTGCTGCCCCCAACCCTCACAAATCCAGCTTGCTGAAGTGGTAAGTGAGGTTGCCCACAAACTGAAAACTGAAACTAGCTTCAGCCCCAATTCCAAAAAACCTGGAAGTAATTTTAGAAGCAGGAAACCATCAAGTAAGAGACAGCACCTGTAGATTAAAACCTCTTCCTCTGACAGGCTTCAACATATCTGACTCACAAAACCATAAAGAAAGACTCCCTTAAAAAAGCCTCATTGTCAAAAATTTTTATAGCTTTGAGGTTATATTTTATCCTTAAACCAATAAATACTTGCAATTCCTTAATTTGCTGCCAGCTGAGGAGAGATTTAAAAACTTCTGCAAACCTGCAATTTCAGTGCTGGTCTGTGCTGGGCACTGAAAAATTCCACTGGGGTGAGAGTGAGAGGGGTTAGTCATGACAAGAACATCCCTGCAATGTGCCAGAGCTGCTTTTCACTGTCATCCAACCATCCTTAATACCGACTTAGACCATCAGTGATTTTTATAATCAGTTGTGTGCTCTTGAAACACACACCCACATACATAACACTCTACAGGCAGCTAAATAGAAGCTTTCTATATTTTTTTATTATTATTAATAACATGCATCTGTGTACAGACCAACCCCCTAAACGATATTTTTATCCAAGGATCTGCAACCTCATTCAAAGCAAACCCTTGCTACTTTACCAGCAAATATCTTGAATACTAATGGGGTTCATCTCTTAATTAGCACCTAGGGAAGCAGCTGGCAGCCCCCAGCCTGGATGCTCACACTGACCAACAGCAAAGTCCTTAAACTACTTATCCCCTGAAACTGCCCCACATCCATGCAGGGTGAGACCTGCTCTGAAGAAAACCTGAGATGATTCTTCCTCCCTGTAAAGGACAGCTGCACATTTACAACTGAAACATCATTCCCAGCCAAGCTCTAATTCTTGGGCCACCCCCAGTTACCCCAGATGTGCCAGGTGCCTGCCAGACTGTGTGTGACACACTGCAAGTGGCAGTGCAGAACACAAAATTCAGGGTACATCTACCATGGCTTTTCTCCTTGCTCGCTGTGAGTGCAGACCCTGCAATGCAGAGGTCAAGCACCCTGGGGCTGTTCTGGGTTATCCAGGTCACAGGCAGGTTTTGTTCAGTGTCCAGAAGCACCAAAGGGCTGGGCAGCACCAGAGCAGAGTAACTGATGCCTCATTCACTCCCAGTTACTTATAAAAGATAAAGCTCATTCCACTGCAATGTCCTGCTGACAAAGGACCTTTTCACATTTACAGCAACAAGGGGAGATCTGGTTTCCAATGTCTTTATCAAACAGCTGACCACAGAAAGAAAAAAAAAAGAAAAAAAAAGGATTTTAAGTATCAGTGATGTTTGCTTCAATTGTCGATAAAAAGAACAACTGCAAGTGATCTGTTTTTCTTAGGTGCTTTAGAAGTTGTTAGGAGCTAGTTAATACAACACTAGGGATTTCAGTGATGGGAAAACTGCTAATTCAGGTTAAGGAAGGAAAACTATCTGCAAATGAAGAGCTGTTTCCAGGGGATGTCTTTGCAGCAGAGCATCAAGTCCAAGTCCATGTGAGCAGGTAAGAGGGTCTGGCCCTGCTGGGCTGAGCCTCCAGGCAGTGCTACAGGAGAAGGCTCTGCCTTGGCACAGGACTGCACTGCATGGGCTTGACCACGGACCATCCCCTCCAGCCTGGCAGGATGCTGCTGTCCACCTCCAAGTCCAAATCCCTGCTGTTAGCTCTCTTACAAGCACAGCAAGCACCTGAGTTTGCTCATTGATAAAGCCCAGAACATCTTTATCTCCAGTCTTTGTCTACCATTGCCATCTGGCCTACGAGTCACAGTCAATCTGAAGCGTGAAGCAACTGATTATGTTTCCCACTGAACATGCTCTATCCACCCTATCCCTCTCATTTTCTTCCTTTGATGCAAAATTGTGCTTACAAAGCAAGAAGATGAAAGTTTTAATGCCTCACAAATGCTGAGGGGAATGCAGAATAAATGTACAGCAAAGCATTTTCAGTCCTTTTCCTTCAGCACCTCCTTTGTATAGTAAAAATAAAAGTTAGAGACAAAGAGCTATTTTTTGTCTACCTTGTAGAAGGAGATCTGCAGCACACCTGAGCATTTGACCAAACCAGCACAAGTGCAAAAAAAAAAATTTTCACAGCAAATTGATACCCACAGACACCAAAACAATGATTCAATTGTCTGATAGAAAGAATGGTAAAATAGAAAAAGTTTGTCACCTTCACAAAACCATTTAATTCATTGTAAATGACTCTAAAAATGCAAATTTCGTAGCTATCATTAGTGCTATTGAGTTATACACATCTATATGGAATAGGAATAGTTTAATTTTGGAACTAAAGGCATCTCCTTTTTATGGGGTAAGTCATCCTTAAAATTACGTTCTTCAACAGAAATTCTGTTGAACTAAGAGGAGAAAAAATGGATTTAACACTTGAGTCATCTTTTTTGAAATGAGACAATGAAGCCTGATAGGCTGATCCACACACGGCTGATGGCAGCAGTGGGTTACAAACGCAGCTGCCCAAGAGTCCCAGAGGGTCCAGGTGGAGGAATAAAGAGCATCAGATCCATCCTTTCCCTCATGTATGAGGCTATGGTTGGTCGTCAAAACCTTCAGAAACTGACACCACTCCTCCATGAGAACCTACATCTCAAACTGGGTCTGTCCCAACAAAGAAAAGCCACCTTCTGAGTATGGCACCAGGGAATCTGGAAGGTCTTACCTTTAGCAGAAGCTAGTAAGGAAAAAAAAAAAAAAAAGACTGCACTGAAGATGAAGAAAGCAAGAAAGCAAACTGGGCTGTCAATGAGAAAACCATTTACATACCTGCTGGACAGGAGTGCTGCTGCACTGGAAAAGCTCTGGGAGAAGAGAAAATATCTTCCAGCTGGGTAAAGCAATGGCTCCATTTCAAGAAGATGCATGGGGAGGTATTCCAATAAGTGACTGCATGCTATAATCCTCAGGACAGGGCCACAAATGACATAGGGTGACCCAGAAAAAAAAGACAGGGTAAAAAGATGGTAAAAACTTCCAGATGCTTTTATCCACAGCCAGAATTCTCCAGGGGGTTTTGTGGGTCCATATGTCCATGTATCCCATACTCCCCATGCTCCTAAAAATCCTATGGAGCTACGAACAGGACCAGACTGCCAGACTCCAAACGTTATTCCAGATCAGTGGGACACATGGGGTTGAGACCTTCAGAGAGAAGAAAGGGACAGGCCATTACACAACAGCTCTTACCACGCTGGACAAGGTTTATTCCCACAGAAACTCCCATCTTTTGATTTATTTTTGCACGGAAGGAAGGTTGTAGGTTTTTTTTCGTTGTTTGTTTTTTTTTTTTTTTTAATTTGCATGATTTATTTAAATTAATGTAACAGTGAGCATAGGCACAGCATGGAGCACCACCTCCAGTTGCCTCACTGGTTCTAGGTGATGTGAAAGGAGGAGGAGGAGAAGCCAGCAACTGCAAGAAGTTCTCAGCTAACCAACAGATCTTTCCAAAACTGTTATTTTTCTTTTTGTCAGGTGAAAAGACAGAATTTTCCTTCCCTCTCATTTTTTCCACACCTTCTGAACCTAATGAGGTATTTTCACTACCAGGCAAGAGAAGGATGGGAAGGGTTGTAAGGCAGCAGGTCAGCAGCACCATCTGCCTTCCTGACTTCAGTGGAAAAATGTCCATCCACCATCAGGAGAATCACACCCTCAGCAAGCCACAGCAAGGTCTGGCACAAGCCACCAGTGACACAGCAGAAACACTCAGCTCTCCAGTGCAACAACCCAGGGTGACCTCCGACCAGACACAGCCACACTTCCCACCTCCACTTTCAGAGAAAATAAACACATCCCAGCAAAGTGGCTCAAAATACCCGAGGAATTAGTCATAAAGATTCTAGTATTTGACGTATATAAACCCATCATGATCTGGGGGGTTTGGGTTGTTTGTTTTTCCAATTCTTTTAATCTGATCTTACTAATTGTGCTGGAAGTAGAGTTGCTGGGATTTTTGTTTGTTGTTTTAAAATATGAAAGCTGTCGCATAAACACAGGCAAGTGCCAGGCCCGGATGTAATGCCCAGCAAGTGCTGAAAGGAAACTCAAATAACTCACTGCCCGACATTGCTTTCTAGTTCATCTGTAAAAAGAAAACAGCAGAGAGCAGCTGAGAGCCAAAAGAGGTTTTGTCACTTTGTTTTAGCTGCAGAAGCACAGGAAGGTGATAACATTGTGTGTAATGTAACCAAGCAAAGGAGTAATGAAAGTGCAAGCAAATAGATCAAATAGGACAGGGTTAAGGAAAAGGTGTGATAATCATTTGTTTTGCTAATTGTGTCAATAAAGTCCTATCTACCCTCAAACAGCGGAAACGTCATCAGATATTTAAAAGGGAAAAATCAAGTGAATAATTAAATGTACAAAACCCTGACAAAGCGTGCCTGGTTTTTCCCCCAGATGTTCCCTTTAAAGGGTTGATTAGGAGAACCACATGTTTATTTGAAATAAAATTCCACTGACTTTGATCCTGTTTAAGTCACCTCACATACAAAATCTACTTTGAAACAAAACTTCTTCTTCCCTTGGGATAACAATCAAAATTGCCTTCTCTGCAGGAAAAGATGCACCATTACCACAGCACAATCCAGGCTAAGCTGGCTCCTGGGGACAACACCACAAAAATCTGGTTTCTCTGCAACATGTTTTTGTTTTACAAAACCCAGCATGCAAATCAGTACGAGGCAACTGGAAGTCTGCAGACAGGCTCTCACATGAAGTTCCACTTGAAGTCTGTGCATTCCTGCAAAAATAAATCTAAATTGCCTTGTCCTTCCTTCTAGTGTTTTTCCAGTGATGGGGAGGGTTAGGAAATGAAATATTCCCTAATTTCCCCCCGGTTAAATGAGCTGAAGCTGAAGAAGGTCTGACCCAAGTCCCCGAGTTGATGAAAATATCTTGGAAAAAGATTTGCATCTCCTCAAAAAACTCCCATCCCACTAATTACACAGCCAATCTCAGTCACTCTGATAACTATATGACATGGAAAATGCCTGTAAAACCTATTTCTCTACAGCAAGAACACCTGCCCAAAATCCTCGAGCTGTTTTCTCCATAAACCAATTACCTGTAAAATATGAGCACACAAACAGAGATGGATTTCTGTTTCCAGAGAAATGAGGCTTGTCCCACCAACCCAGCCCCGCGCTGTGCTGTGCCTGATGCACCAGCAGGGCTTTTTCTCCAGGCTCCAACAGGGATGTGTCAATATGTACTTTGCTCACTTCTCCTGGGAGACGAGCTCAGCAGTCCTCACTGCCCAACAAGCGAAAACGTAATTTTTTTTGTTTTCTGTTTTTTATATCTCTCCCCATTTCTCATATACCACACCACCCACAGCACTCCCACCATCAGCCTTCAAGGCCAGCTGGATGGCAGCAGGATTCATGGGCTATGCTACAGCTCAGTGACCAGCATCTTGCACAAGTTATGTGTTTATATAAACATGTGGGCTTTTCTAGTCAGATTGTAACAGATAAAACAATGGCAGATGATTAATGTTCATTTTACACATCTTCCTTCATGGTATGGAGGAACCTCAGTCCCTTCCACCCCCCAATGTAAGAAGACACTGTCTCATTGCCACCCTGTTTGAGAGGCAGATGAAATTCAAACTCTTGTGCCCAGCACAAGAAAAGACAACTTTCCAGTTCTCTGGACTCTAGCCTTAAAATGTGCCAGATTTTTAAGACTGAGCACACTGCTTGCTGGAAAGAACATCACTCCGGCTCACTGCTGCTGCTTCCCCCTCAGACTGGAGGTTTTCCTTGCACACTGTCCATGGTGTTGTCCAACACCAACAGTTTAGGTCTTGCCCTTAACAGCTCACTGCAGGTCAAGCAGTAGGGTGACAGCAGAGCCCTGAAGCACATCCAGAATTTTCAAGTCACGGGATAGCACCTGAAAAACACATTCATCTTGCCCATCCCTTGACAAGAACTAACTCCATTACCTGTACACAGAGAGGGTTGAATCACCAGCACACAGAAACACCACGGACTGAGCACATGTCAGCTCTGAGCAAACAAGGCATCACCCCCAGCACGAGAGCAGCACCCTGAGCAGCACCACGGCTCCTCTCCAAGGGCAGCAAGAGCCTGTCAGCAAGAGCTGTAGGAAACCAGCAGTGAGCAAAGTGTGCCCAGCAATAGACAGACCCCAAATGATTAATAAACACACAAAAAGAGTTAAGAGACTTGTTCCTCATTAGTTGAAAAATATGTGAGGAAGAGAGAAGGAGTCCCACCTGCTAAATTTTGAACTTTAAAGAGCCCCAAGTGCAATGGCTCATTTTTAAAAACAAGGGATGTTTTCTGTGCCTGTGTTTTATTTGAAGGAAAGGGCTGGGTTTTTTACACTCTAACATGTTCATTACAACCCAGCCATGTGAGTTAAATGCAGTAAGGGACCTGTTAAACCTCATGATCACTGCATGTAAGCTCCAGCAGTGACTTTATTATGGGCAAGAATGCAATTGGGGCATTCATGTCTACTGCTCCTGCCACCAGGCACTGTGAGCAGTATGTGCTTAGCTTGCCAACACCGAAATCTCCACCTAAACACAAGGTGAGCATCCCAAAACAGCTTTGTTACATCCCCATGCAGAAGAACATCTCCAGATGTCCTGGAGAGAACTGCTCTTCAGTCCAGAGACTCCTTATCAAGGTCAATGTTACCTAGCAGAGAATAAAAAAGGAAAAAAAACCAAAATAATTCAACCTTTCTGTTTTTTAATAAATTCTCCAGCAAATGGTTGCAGGTACCAGTTTGCTGCCATGAGTATCTCAGCTACCACGAGGGACTGAATTTCTCCTGATTTAGAGAGCAAAGCAGGCTCAGCACCAGTCTTGGAAGAAGGAAGAGGACAGGATCAAGCCCAAACTGTCCCCTGCAATAAAATCCAGCTGATGAATCAGCTCAAACCACCCCAAAAACTCTCCTTGGCTTCTTGTTCTTAGGTATGAAATTTTAGAAGAGCTATAGACTGAACCTGACACAGTGAGGGTGGCAAAATCAGGAGTTCTGAGTCAACAGAACTTGTGTTTTGTATCAGTGAGAAAACATGAACTTGTTTGCTTTATGGAATTATGGAAGGACAGACGTCAACAATCTCTTCTATCAAGTGCCCATAATATTTATGTCTTTATAAAAGATAAATAAACAAACCAATTATTTCCCAAAGAAACATAGAGAAAAAAAAATTAAAGCCTGCTGTGCCTTTTTCTCCTAACTCAGCAAGTTTTTGGAGTAACCTGGCTGCTTTTGAGGGCTTCACAAGCTTGGCCAACCTCCCAGGCAGTCCCCAGAACTGGGGCTTTTGCTCCCAGATAAAGAAAAAACAGCTATGGGCCAGGACATGATTAATGAGAGGAGGGCACTTCGCAGATGCTTCACCAGTCTGTGACCAGGCTTTGCACATTCAAAGCCTGAGTATTTGAGGAGAACAGGATGGAGGCAAGAACCATTTATCTTGCCTCACTCTACCATTCTTCATCCTAAAAATCAATTCCTTTCTGGGAACTCCAACGGAAAGGGTTGAAAAAAGAAGCACAGAAGGATTGCCTGGTAGATTGGGAATTCCAGCCTATACTCTGCCCAATGATGCATTGTTTGGAAACACATAAAGTGCAATATAAAAATGCTTCCAAGAACTCCTGCAACAGCTTCACAATAAAGTATACATTTAAACATGCAAGTCTAGCTATTCCATTGAAGGTATCATCACACAAATTTATGTCCCTCACATCCACCCAGGACTCACACTTGGGATGGGTCTGCCCACCAACCTGAACCAGTACCCAAGGGACCAACAGGCTGGATATTTATAGCTCGAGTTCTCACACAAAATGCAGGTCATGACTGTGCTCTTTGGACTTCACAAAATGACTCCACATGAGAATCACAAGCTGGGATGCTACAATTTGAAGCACTGCTGAGATGCTTTACAATTAACTCCCTTCATTTAACCATTTTTGAAGGCAAAAAGCAAAATCTTACAATCTGACATTTTTAGCACCTGATGTCACCTTGGACCATTTTCAAAGCAAAATTTCATAACCTTATTCTCCATCTGCACCAACTGACACAGATACATTAAGAGAAAAAATCTTGAAAATGTTCCCTAAGGAGAAGTGGGGGGAGATACTTTCCTGATGAAGGGTAGACTGTTACATAAAAAGACCAAAGGAACAAACTGTGAGACAAATATTAACTCACCTTTTTATAGTATTCAAGACATGAATGTTTTCTGACTTGGGTGATAGTACCAAAAAAAAATTATATTTAATGCTATCACAATCACCTCTAATATGGAACACAGCATTCCATATATTCTCCTCTTGGAAAAATATGTTTTACAATGAACTGTAAAGTGTGATTCTTAAGAGATACTGGGTTGCCTCACCCAGAAAAATTGAAAGGCAACAGAGAAACAAAGTGCACAAAGAAGGAGCATTTTAGCCTTGAGCCACTTGCAGCTCAAGACAATGACCATGCTCCTTCTGAGATGCAGACTCCTTGGGTAGGAGGAACATCCACTTGGACCACTCATTGATCCAAGACTGTGGGATACTCAGTAATGGACATAAAAAAAGACCAGTCTGATGCCAGTTGCCAAACACTGATGGCACAAGTTGCACACCAGGGGAAAATCAGACCTGCAGATCCACTGAAGTGGACACAGCAATGCAAGGGATAACACTTCAGGACAGCACTTCATGCCTCCTGCTCTCCCAGGAGACTGCATTCTGGCTTAAAAGGTGTTTTTTAGGAATGCTGGTCCCAAGGCTGATCTTGCAGAGATAAGTTGTAACCCTTCGAGTGCACAAGGGAATGGATTTTTGCACTTTTTAGTTTGTTTGCTTGCTTTTTAAAAATAGACTTTCTATTATATCCACTATCTCTATCACCAACTTCAAATACCACAGGAAACCAAGACCTGTGCATCAAAAATGAAAGTCAGGTTCCCACAGCTGGGTGAAAGAAGGGCCCTTCCATCCTGTTCACACCCAGGTGGGCACCATTTCACCTCCCAAGAGCCCCTTTCTTCACCCTGGTCCCTCAAGCAGGCACAGAGCAGCTCTGCCACCAATGGCTCTCCCACCATCCCATGTCCAGCACCAAGGACCCACAGGTGCTCTCACAGGTATGACACAGAGTTGCTGCTCCATCTCCAGAGCTGCTCCACTGCATATCAACACACACCCCAGAGCCAGGCTCCCTTGCTGGGTACAGCTGCAGTTCACAGAAAACTGGGAAAATTCACTGCAAATTCATTTTACACCTTGGCCAAAATGACCCATAGCTCCCCACACCAAGCCTGGTCACCATGAACCATCCCAGCTTTCCAGAGCAGGGCTCAGTCTGAACCCTGCAGACACTATTTGCTCCCTTTTGTTTATGATTTTCAGCCTACGGCATTAGTTACCAGTTTACAATGAAAGGAAAGAAAAATCACTATGCCAGCTGCAAAAATAATCCTCCTGCTCATTACATTTTCAGTTCTTTATCTTAGACCTATTCTTTAAGCCTTCAGGATCTAGGCTATCACCATACAGGCTAACAACATGCTTTGTAATCAAATAAAAGCTGAAATTCTCACACGACTACATCGCTCCAGGAGCAAAGGAGCTGTGTTAAAATCATAAAAGTGGCTAACAGAGAGATTAATTGGATGCTATTAAAAATACAAAAACAAAAAAACAAAACAAAAGAAAAACAAACAAAAACCAACCAACCAACCAACCAAACAAACAAACAAACAAACAAAAAAAAAAAAAAAAAAAAAAAAAAAAAAAAAAAAAAAAAAAAAAAAAAAACAAAACACCAAACCACAGAACAGAAGACATCAGTCCCTTACTTTTCAAAGATAAAACCAATCAACTCCAGGCATCTTGGTCGCAGTTGACATTTGCTTTCATCAACCCCCCCACCACCGCAGCTTCCTGAAATCCCTCTATTAAAATGGATTTGCAATTGTCCCAGTTTGTGCCATTAGTTTATGCCATCTATGCTACCCCTGCTTCAGCTCCAGAAAGGCAGAGTTGGGATGATGGGCTTGGTCCTCTGAAGGCACTGGTGGCACAAAAACTGAGCCAATGGCTCCAGTGCTGGTGCAGTTTGATCCCTTGGCACTGGACCAACACAGTGCCAGCCCCATGAGCACCAAACTGATTTGCTGGCCAAAAAGGGACATTCCTGAGCCCCTCTCTGTGTCCCTCAACTTCTCAACCCAAAGGACACCACACACTGCTCTTGCTAGGAGCATTTATTATGGGCAAAGTAAATCAGCACAAAGCTGCTGAGAAACAGCAAGGGGGTAAAGGCCAAGAAGGAAAAAGACATTTTTTTCATAAGCTTAAGTCACCCCTTGCAGGACTGACGCATTTCCAGCTTAATATCTGGCTCCTTTAAAAGCTGAATCCTTGGTGGCTGCCTCCTCATGCAAGAACAGGACAGAAGCCCAGTGGTAATGACTTTCCCTGTGCACTGTCACACTTGGCTTGAGGTCCAAGCATCCCCGTGGAGCCCAGGAGAAGCCCCACGTGTTCTGGGTTTGGCACAAGAGCTCTGCAAAGGCAACTGAGGTGAAGATTTCAAAATAGCACTGGCAATACCAGCACAGAAACATTTTGGCACATTAGGCTGTCTTCCTGTTACTTTTTTGAAAGGTCCTTCTTATTAAGGGCACATGTTCAATATTCAGTAAATAATAACAGAAAGTGTTTGCCATTAAACCAAAGCCCATGGAATGATCTTGACTCATTCCAGCTGCCAGATCCAAATAAATGCCTGCCCTGCTGTTACAGGCAGCTTTAACATGCAGCTCAGCAATTGGGACCATCATGAGGTGAAAAAAAATACTATTATTAGAAAAGATTTCATAACAGTGTAGGACTTGGCTTCATCTAAACATAGATGTTGCATTGGTTTAATTAAATCAGCATGGAAAGGTTCTATTTATTGCATCACACAGTTACACTATTAAATTACAGGCCAGGACTCATTTTTCTGCTGATATCCAAGAGTAAAACCTTTTTCTGCTGATGCAAGGATTCCTATCAGGGTCTGCACTCCAGCTCTACCTGTGTTTGTGAACAGATGTTTTGCTCACTCTCTTATACTCACAGAGCACTCCTGACCATGCACCAATTTAGTTTTAATTTTACTAACAAAAACAATTCATTCCTACCAAGTCTCTGTTCCTACCACTCTTTCACCTCCATTCTTAGTGATTATTATTGCAGCCACCTCAAGAGGAAAATAATAGAAACACAAAAAACAAGATCTCTGAAAACATGTCTGAATTCTATATAACCCTCTCCATGTTTGCAAAACAAGCACAGAGCCCAGAGCAACAGGGAGCTGCAGGGAATCAGCTGTTTGCTCCTCACCCCTGGAACTGCCTCCCACCAACCCTGCACCTCACACAAACAGGGCATCAGCCAGGGTCCAGCACAGCTACATGGATGGTTAAACTCCCCAGGATGGAGGTTATCTATTATTATATAAAATAATCCCCATTATTTTGATGCCTGAATGTGCTCACAAATTCAACTAACCTTCCTGTAACCCGGATATTTCTAAATTTTTATTCCAAGACTGACAAAGTATTGCACCTCTTCTCACTCATTTATTGTTAACAATATTTTTATTTTAATCATGTCTAGGCTCCTCAATATTTAATGGCATGATTTTCTGAAAAGCTTACATGCTGTGAGAAAAAAAAGGGAAAAAGAAGGGATTGTTTTATCTCTACATTAGCATCTAAAGGCATCAAAGGAATTCCTAGCCACATACCAGTTGCTGTATGGGAATGCAGTTAAATAGTGTATTTACATACAAAGCGTGTGAGACTCAGGAGAACTTACAGTCACAGAATCAGAGATTCACAGAATGGTTTGGGTTGGAAGGGACCTTTAAAGATCATGTAGTGTAACCCCCCAATGAGCAGGGGCATCTTCAACTCCATCAGGTTGCTCAGAGTCACATTTATCCGTGTTTTCAGTCCAAAATGTCTCTTCTCTTTTGCAGGGATGATGCTGCCCTGGAGGGTGCAGGGTTCTCCATCCACACACCCCACAGTTTGGCATTTCTGTCCTGTCTGCTCTGCCACAGCCCCATTGATGGAAGCACTGCCACTCCTCCAAAGGCAGCAATGCAGGTGAATGTTCTTTGACTGCTTCAGAAAAAAAAAAAAAAAAAAAAAAAAAAAAAAAAAAAAGCTAGGGTCAGATGAAGCTGTTTAAACATCAACTTGAGCTCACAGGATAAGAAGGGAAAACCTGGAGCCTGTACAACTGGTCCTGCAGCAGTGACTGAACACCAATTCCACGGCTCCACTGCCAAGACTCAGCCAAAGCCTCCACACAGCCTCCCTGCAGAAGGAAGGCCCACCAAAAAGTCCACCAAACCCAGAGGTGAAGTCAGAGATGTCTTCCCTGCTGTGCAAATCCTTAACAGCAGTTCCATCTGTCACTGCACCCAACTGTGAAGCTGCTGCCTGAGCTTATGTCTCTCTTTCTCAAGAGCTGCTGGGGGAGAAGTCCAGCCTTTCCTAAGCATCCGACTTACCCTTGCTGGGAGCAGTCCCACTTCTGCCTCTCCCTTCAATGGATACAGGATTTCTCTGCCATGGTCCTAATCTGCTCAGAGACAGAGATCTGTTTTCATACAGATATCCATCTTTCATCACAAAGAATGGAGAGAGATCATTGAGAGTGACACTATCTTTCCATAAGTAAAGAGAAGATACTGTTAGCCCCAGTTTATAAGTCCTCAGAGCTATTTGGCTGAAATACCTGAAATAATTTCTTTCTGAACACTGCTCATTAAGACCCTCTTTTCGCCACTCTGCTTCCTAGGCTGAATTCAATTCTCCTGGGGAAGATGCTGCAGCAGAAATCAGTGCCCTTTCCCCATTTACTTAAGATGGCAAGTGCAGAGCTGGTACTCAGAGCAGGTAACCAGAATGTGCGATAGAGTTGGTAAAGAAACTCCAAGGTTAAAGAAGAAGAAACTGAGGAAGGAGAGGACACTGAAACACATCAAAAGTATCACAGGAAACATATCAAGAATATAATAGGAAGCAGCATACTGACAAGTAAACTTCATGATTCAGGGCTAAAAACCAGCAATAATAATTAAAATGTTATAGGAGATTAAATTTAATCTTTTTTTTTTTTTTTCCTCAAGAAGATGACACCTCCTGCCCTGGTTTTTTGGGAGTCGGGCTATCAGGTCAGACACGTTTTGGCTGATGCAAGGGAGCAGTAACACCGTGGTGTCCAGCGCTGCTCCTGCAGCTGACACGGTGCTCACGATCCCTGGCGCTGATCCTCAGCACAGGGAGCAGGGTGGCAGCTGCAGTGTGATGCAGCAAGGATATAAAAAGCTGAGGACTCAGCCTGCAGAGTGGCAGCCAACCTGAGCCAGCTGGTGCTGGCATCACCTTTCACCCACATCGGCCGAGCCGCTTTCCCGATAGGAGATCATCTTGGGAAAACAAGGAAAACAAGCCCTCTCATGGCTGCTCGCTCCAGCTGGCCCCAGGATCAGAGCTGTGCCCTTCTAGGACAGCAAGCTAAGGGCAGGAGGGGGGGACCCCATGCCCAAAGCCATCCCCAGTGATAGGGGGATCAGAACAGGCTCTCCTAGGAAAAGGGAACATTTTTCCCATCCCCAGTGGGTCCTGAAGTGCTCAGCCCCATCCACCCCTCCAGCTGGGGGAAGCAAAAGCCCAGCTGTCTCAGGCACGGGACTGATGCTCCCTTCCCGAAAAGGGGCACCAGGGAACAGTATCAGCTTGTCAACAAGATCCAGTGGCTTTTTCAGCTCCAATTCCCTGGCTCTCCAGACTGGGAGCAAAGCGTGGCTGACTTGGGACCTGAGATCCAGCAGCAAAAATCTGGGAAATTCAGAGAGGAAACATCAGAAATCATCAGAACCAAAGGCAGGCACCAGAAACCACCATCAAGAGAATGTTTAGAGCCAAATCTGATCTTGTTTCCATCAAAATGCTCTCACTGCCTCCTGTGCTGGATCAGGCTGTGCAGGCTTGGTCATAACCAGGTTTTGGTCTCTTGCACATCCTCCCCAGAGCCCAGCTGGCTCCGGCTGATGTGCTCTCTGCAGCTCTGCCATCCAGCAGGATGGAATTCCAAGCTATCAGAAGTGCTGGAGCTAGCCATTAAGATGCCAGTAAATCCAGGAAGAAATGATTCCAGCTATTTATTTGCTACATTTTGGGGCAATTTCTAATTTATTTATTTATTTATTCATTTATTTATTTTTCTATCTATCTTTTAAAGTCTTTCTACAACCCTTTAAAGTCACCCACACACTTCATTATATATATGTCACCACACCAATACAGTATCACAAGACTCTTGATTACACAAAAAGCACCAAAAACTAATTTTTTTGCCAATGGATAAACTGGTATATCAAAGCAGACTGGTGTATCTGGCAGAAAAGTCAAAACTCCTTAGCAACCTATTTTCAGGAAGAAAGTGGCAAGATCTTTCTAGATATTACCATTTTCTCCTACCTCATAAGCAGCATGAATTAACAAAGCCAATAAAAACGACCTGAAAACCTAAACTGAAGTTTAGGCCTTGGCCTTGATTTTGATCTTGAAACAACCTGGCCCAAGATCAAGAATAATTCTTAATATTTATTTTTAGAACACATTACCTTCAAACCTCCAGACCTGTGTTAGATAGCTTTTCTATTTTTTCCATGAGGCTGAAAACACGATCTGTGAAGTCACGTTTACCATGAGAGATTTGTCCATCATCGCTATCTCAGTAAATACTTTTCCAAGGAAAGATTGTTCTTTACACAGCAGACGTGGGATTTCCCACCACCCACCACCAGGAAATGCATCATGTCCATATCCAAACCTGCCAAAGCCAGCCTGCTCTTTCCAGAGCCACACCAAAGTTCTGGCCTTGAGCTAACAGGTAAATGTTATTCTCACTGATGGGGCAAATCCGTGTAAGAACTCACCCTCCTCTCAAGGCTGCATTTCCTCACAGCTGCCAACCTCAGTCCACCTGGATACCCAAGTTGGTTGCAAACAGCTTACTGCAAGCAAAAGCTAAGTGTCTGCATCAACTCTGAGCACGCTTTAACTTTATTTGAGGAGGTCTAACTACTCTCGGATACTTTTGGAAACATGCACAGTTGCCACATGCTGCCCCATGCAGCTCATGTACCAGAAACAGCACTAATAAGGTCCTGAAACCAAGGGAAATTGCTGATTTCCCTTGAACTGAAGCAGTTCCATTGGTAGAGATGTGCATCAACGCACCCAAGATGATATGAGGGCATCCAATCGTCCTGTCTTCTCATGAACACTCACAACAGTGTAAAATCATTGAAGACTCCACAGGGAAGATGAAAGGAGTCTGTTCTCTCTAACACAGAGTAATGAAGGGCTACAAACAGCCCCATTTGTGGGATACTGGGGGATGAGAGAATTTGTGATGCTCAGCTGCCTTAATGTCACCATTTCCTGCCGCTGTCCTTCTCCTCATGCCCTAAGAAAGGGACCTCTGTGAAACTGCCTTCTAAATCCAAGCCCTCAAGCACGCAGCCCAGAAGGCTGTGATAGTTTATTGTATACTATTTTAAGTCGTTCCTTTGCACTAATGCAGTCCTTTTCATTAGGATGGCCTGAGGCATATCAGGCACAATACCTAAAGATCACAGCTCTGACTATGTAAAGGAATAACTCTGAGGAATGTGAACTCTCCAAAGACCATGTGATGAGCTTCCCAGTGAAAGGGATGTTTTTTTAAACACGATGACACAAAAATCACCAGAGGGGATCAAACCCAACCACCACTCTTAGTCAGCATCCGGCTCTCAGATGTTCTGGAGAGCCGACCCGTGCAGCTGGCAGGAGTGAGAGGACACTCCTGCTGGCACCCATTACTGGCATGCACAAACTATTTGCTGTGTTCTCCAGCTTAATTAAATCACCAGTTTAAACTAATTCCTCGGCTTTGACTGGTAGCAGCTAAAACTGACACATCTCCCCTTCGGGCACCCATGGCAAGCACCCCACCACTAATGGGGAGTGGGATGTCTGGGCTCAGGGCAAGACACCGGGTCTTGAGAATGGATCTTCCTACCTCCAAGACTGAGAGATAATAAAAGCTGGATGAAGAAATGAGGGGGAAAACGAAACAAACACCCACAACATCGCATCATGGTTCATTCATTGTGTCAAATAGCTGCAGCAGAAATTCTGCTTTTGTTTTTGCTGGCTTTTCCTTTTTTTTTTCCTTTCCTTCCACACAGATGAAATGAAGCACGGAAAGCAAGGGTCCCTGTCAGCATCTGCTCTGCACTGACAGTTCAATCCGCAGGGCCAGCCAGTGTGATGGGCCTCAAATTACAGTCACCATCAGTACAACTGGACAGATAAACCCCTTATGTATGGCACAGTAATGCCTACTGCAAACTGCACCACTGCAAAAAGCTTCTCTGACCCTCCACAGCAGGATCTAGTCCTGACCTGAGTGCATGAGTAGCTGGAGCTGCAATAAACCCACAGCACTGAGGAACACCCTGGAAAGCCAAGTGAATCAGGACACTGCCTAAAAGCTTTGGTGTTTCACTCCAACCCCTGGGACCCCCATTTAAGAAGATACAGCCAGTTTAAACAAAGAACTGAAGCACTCAAAAGCTGCAGAAAATTTGAAGCAAAAATTTCAGCTTAGGAGCAGAAACTCTATTATTGAACGAAACTATCACAGAATTACAACTGTATGTTCTCAGTTATCACTGAGAAGAATACAACCACAAACAAATAAGCTATTGCATTACATGTACTTTTCATAACAGGTATTGGGTTTTTATAATGTATACGGTTCCTTTTGGGGACAGACTTTTCTGCAGGGCCTGTTGTGTTAGGCCAAAGGGCAATGGTTTTAACCTGAAAGAGAGTTGCTATAGATTAAAGGAAGAAGTTTTTTGGAATGAAGATGCTTAACACTAGAACAGGTTCCCCAGAAAGTGCTGAGGCACTGGAAAAGGCTGCCTAGAGAAATCGTACATAACCCATGGCTGGAAACATTCAAGGCCAGGCTGGATGGGGCTTTCAACAACTTGATAGAGTTGAAGATGTCTCTGCCCACAGCAAGGGAGATGGACTTTACAGGATGACCTTCACAGGTCCCTTCCAACCCAAACCATTCTAGGATTCCATTACATTGCTAAACAATCCTGCTAAAGAAGACACAATCATGAAAAATAAACACTTTTCATTGTTGGTCCTTTTAAGTACTGCCTTTCCCACAGCTACCAAGCTTGGGGCTTAGTACCAGAGCTGGGTGAAGGCTGATTTTAGCTAAGGCTGGTCTCACTAGAAATTTCACCTCTCTCTATAGGTGACTGCAGGTGAACTGGGGATGTCAGCGTGGCAGGGTTTCAAGGCAGTGAGGCTCTGCTGGCAGCTGGAGGACAAAATATTTCTGGGAGACCTAAAGACGTCAGGCTGCACCAGCAGTAGCAGGGACCTTGGCTCCGAGGTGCTACATCCTCCCCTGGGAGCTCATGTCCAAGAAGGAGGTGTTTGAACAGAGCCTGGTAGAGGATCCAGCTGTCAGAAGCAGGAGGGGAATGACAAATCCTCCTTAGACGAGAGGATAGAGTGATCTGCCTGTGTCAGACCTGCACAGCTCAGTGGGAATGTAAAGGTAAGAGGTATGCTGTCTGCATCATGGAAACAGGGATTTAAGCAAAAGGACAACACTGACACAAGAACAAATGAGCATCAGCTGGCTATGAATGACTTCAGGCTGCAGCATGAAGGTCCCTGGCCATGCCAAGCTCTGGATGCCTTTCAGCAGTCACAGGGCAGGCAGCCCAATCAGTCTTAAGATGCAGCTTGATAAATTTG